TCTATTTCTGAACTCTATTCTGTCCAATTAATCTGTCTTCATCATTTCCCTAATACCACACCAACTTAATTACAATAGTTTTCAGTAAGTCTTGAAATCAGGAAACATATGTTTCCACTTTGTTTTTCATTTTCATCAGTCTTTCACATAAAGATCTTGTGTATATTTTGGATATCTGGTACTACTGTATATGGCATTAGGTTGCTAAACAAGTATTTGTGGTAAAAGCCACAATTATGTTTGCAGCAACCTAATACTTTTTGAAATGTTTGATTTCCAGTTGTTCACTGTAAGATATAGAATTGATTTTCGTATATTGAGTTAGTATCCTGTCACCTACTAGTTACAGTAGCATCTTGCTAGGTTCTTTGAGATTTTTTTACATTGATAATCACTTTGAGAATAGAAAAAGGTTTTCTTCTTTTCTAATCTTTTGTTTGTTTTTCTTGCTTTATTGCTCTGCTTTAAATCCTGCTTTATAGGATTTCACATTATTTACATTTGTAATGGATTTTGAAGACCTAGACTATGATCTACCTGGGTTACTACTTCATGTCTCCTGTTGTTGGGTAACATGTTCTACAGATGTTAACTAGGTAAAGTTGGTTGACGGTTAGGTAAAGTTGGTTGACAGTATTATTCAAGGCTTCTGTATCCTTCCTGACTTTCGGCCTGCTTGTTCTGTTAATTATTAAGAGGAGTGCTGAAGTCTCCAAATATAACTGTGGATTTGTCTAGTTCTCTTTTCAGTTCTCTGTTATTAATTCATGTATTTTGAAGCTATGTTGTTGCATAAATATTTATAATTTTTATATCATGTTGGTGAATTGACTGCTGTGTATTTCTCTTTTCGGGGAGGAGAGGGGAATAAATGCAGGGGTAACCATTTTCTTTGGCCATATTCTGTTTAATTGCTGTTTCTTAAGCTAGATACCAAGCTCATTAATTTTCAGTGATTTTGTAACACTATTAAGGTTAATTAAAAAGGAAAATGAAATGTGATCCTATAAGGATGCTTTGTAAAAAAAAAAAAAAAAAAAAAAAAAAAAATTCACCAATGCCAGCTGAGTCACAATGATCCCTTTTCTGATCACCAACATTTTGATTACTTAAAACATCTATTTCTTGGCCAGGCGTGGTGGCTCACACCTGTAATCCCAGTGCTTTGGGAGGCCGAGGCAGGCAGATTACCCAAGGTGAAACCTCATTTCTACAAAAATTAGCTGGGCATGGTGGAGGGTGCCTGTAATCCTAGCTACTCAGGATGCTGAGGCGGGACAGTCGCATGAACTGGTGGTTGCAGTGAGCCGAGATCACACCATTGCACTCCAGCCTGGAATACAGAGTGAGACTCTCTCTCAAAAAAAAAAAAAAAAAAAAAAAATCTGTTTCCTATAGTTAAAGGTATCTTTTTCAAGTAGTTTTCTCTGAGATAAAAATAACCACATTGAGTTCTACCTTATGTACATTTTAATGATGTTTTTCTTAATTCTCATTCAATATTTTCATGTACACTTGGAGTTTTCAAGATCTGATCTGCACTTAGGCCAACCTATAAAATTCAACCTTATCAAAATATTTTACATGGAATTTTCATTCATTAACTCTTTGCCCTTTAGAATACAGTCCACCAGCTGCTTCACTTTAGTGAGATCCACTCAATAAAGACATCAAATAAAAGCAAAATATTATTTACAGCTTGCCCGCATGCACTATACATCTGTGTTCATCTCAGATAAAAGGTTACAATGCAGGTCTAAAGGGTAATGTGAAAATTACTAACCAGCATCAGCTAAGTAAGGGGTATACTTATGGATCAAGGGCAAATGGAGAAATACAGTGGAGTCAAAAGCAAAGAGTATACAAACATGGTCATTACTATTAACTATAAACATTAGTTTTCTTGAGATAATGTTAATATATTAAGATTTTTTTTTAAAGGAGATTCTTTATGACGCTAAAAAACACCTCTAATTTCTTCTAGATTCCCTATCACATTTGTTGGTGGTCGTTTCTAACCTTTTCTATAACGAGAATATCATTCATAACCCCTTTACTCTCCAGCTGATGGCCTTTATTTACAAGGAAGAGTAAGACCAGTTGATACACTCCATCAACTTCCCTTTGCTGTGTCTTAACTGTTTCCTCTATATTCTCACATTGCTGAGGGGTATGCCTTTCTCTTTTACCATCCTTTGGTTCAAGTACATATTGTCCTTCCTCCAGTAAGTTACTTTTTCACTTGTGTCTTTTATTTGCCTCTCTCTGCATACTACCATGCACACTCTAGGATCCACCTCATACCTAAATATGCCCATTCACTCTTCCAACATTTTAAAAGCACCTAACAAGTGTAACTCATTGGATTACTATGAGACAGAAAGTTAAGTAAAAATCCAGTCCTCCTTTCAGGAAACTCACAAACTATTGAGAAAGATGAACAGGTAAACAAATAATTACAATCAAGTATAACAAATGTTAAGAGCAAAGGCATGTACAATACAGTCATGGTATAAAGGAAAGAGAGCTTAATTCTGCTTGGTTAGAGAGAGATTTTCTTTCTTTTATATCTTCATCAAGCCCACCCTCTCTGACAGTTCTTTTCTTCTCCTCTTCCTACAGATAGGCTCAGGTCTTAAACCCAGAAATGAACAATCCCATGATGCTTAAGCTAATACCACTCTGGCATCCCCTTTACTGGCACTATTTTTTTTTCTTGAGACAGGGTCTCACTCCATTGTCAATGCTGGAGTGCAGGGGCATGATCACGGCTCCCTGTAGCCTCAACTTCTTGGGCTCAGGTGATTCTTCCACCCCAGCCTCCTGAGTAGCTGAGGCTACAGTTGCATGCCACCACACTCTGCTAAGTTTCTGTATTTTTTGTAGAGACAGGTTTTTGTAATGTTACCCAGGCTGGTCTTGAATGCCTGGGCTCAGCAATCTGCCTGCCTCAGCCTCCCTAAGTGCTAGCATTACAGGTATGAGCCCCTGCACCTGGCCTGACATATTTTTGGAAAAGGTTATTTACTGTCTTTCTTTCATTAATTTTTTAAGCAAGTATAATCTTGTTTTTGGTTTCCACCATTTTACTGACACCTCACCAAAGTCAAAGTCAAAGAATCCTCTCAGCGTATCCAACCACCTTTTCTCAGTTCTCTTCATGAAAAAAATCTCTGCTACAAGGGACTCTGTGGAACTTACTCTCTTCTCAAAGTTTTCTCCTTGACTTTTGTGATACTTCACTTCCCTAATGTATTTTCTCCCTTGCTCCCCATTTCTGTTCAGTCTTCATTGATCCCACCTCCTTTTAATGCTTGACAGAGAGAAGGAATGGCCAAGATTACATTTTGAAACACAGCTTTTGACTCCCTACCTCTTCTCTCCCCCAGCAAACTCATGATATTAAGCTCTAAAGTAGAGTGGAGTGCAGAAAAAAAAAAAAAAAAAAATTAAGAGTCAGAAAGTCTGGCTTCAATTTTTGGTTCTACCACTGACTTCCTACCTATGCATCATGGCATGTCACATCCTAGGACTCCATAAAAGAGAATGGTTTTCTCCCTATGCTACAATTCTAACTGAAAAGACCATCAGATTTCTAGTTCTAAATTTCCTAATGCCCCAAACCCACATTAATGCCATTTAAATGCAGACATAATATGCTAACATAGATATGTTAAGAACTTGTATTGTTTTCAAAAAGGTGATTATTTACAATTGCTAAAAAAAAAAAAAGTCAATAATTCTTTATTTCCAGATTCCCTATCAAATTTGTTAGCAGCAATTTTTAACCACTAAAATTAAGTCACTCAAACCAAAACCAACTATACTTCCTTTAAGTTACCTATTAGTATTTATGTATTGGTGCCACCATTATCCTAAGCTTGAAATCCTAATACGCCTACAGTCTTTCATTTGTGCATTCTCTCTCCCTAATTCCCAACCTTAGTGCAAGGCCTAATTCAAAGGGCATCTCTTCCATAAAGGGTTCCTTGACCTCTTCAGCTGGTTATAATCTTTCCCTCATCAGAAGACCAAAGACAATCTATGTGTACCTCTCATGACACTTGGTTTATGTTTTTTCTTTGTTTTCAGACACTGGTTTTGTGAGAGCAGGATTTACATCTGATTCTTCCTTGCATACCCCATGGCACCTTGAACACTGCTTTGCTCGAAGTACTAAAAAACTGCAAGGTTTGTTATCTGAACTTTGGACACAGAAGAAGCAGTAAAGTTGTCTAGAGTAATGATTTTCTTTAAATAAAAATAACAATTTAAACATGTATGATGATTTAGATGTTCTAACTCTAAAATATATAATGTTCTTCTTAAGCTAAGGAAGCAGAAGCTCTTCCCCAATTCCTTCAAAATTCCAGTAAACTTGAAAGCACACTATAGAAAATAGTCTTTGCTATGTCACAATATTAATTTTTTTAAGGTAGACTGACTAAAAAATGTAGTCTTTGACATTTGGTTTTACAATTTGAGCATCTCCATTGTTCACAAGACAAAGTATTTTGACAAACGATTAGGTCTACCATTAGAAGTGTAGATGAAACACAGCAGTAACTGATGCCTATCAGAACTTTCAGCCAGTATGTACTACATTATCGTCTGCTCAGAAAGCAATTTCCCAAAATGAAATATGCTGTCATTAATTTTCAGCTTCATTAATAAGCTTCCATGCATTGCTCAAAAATTTTATTTTTAAAGATGTAGTCCTCAGTTGAGACAGTAAAACAAATTGAGGTGGGGGGGAAGATTTCCAGCTTCCTTTATGATTAGGAAAAATAAAAATGCAGCTTAGCAGACAGAAGAACTAGAATTTCCAAAGACTCTAAACCGGGTAAGTCAAGGTTTTAACTTAATTCGTCTTGAAGATAAGATGTCTGGTGTGAGGCCTGACAGGTAGTACACAGCATCACTGCAAGAACATTAAATAAAACCAAGAGATCTGTCTGAGACCTCGTTACTGCAGATGCAGAGAGAAGACTATGACCTACCTGGCTTATCCCTCCAGGAGAGATCTTGTATGACTGCAACTTTTGCTTCAGCAGCTCTGGATCACTGTGACGGAATGGGCACCCTGACAACAGAAAATAAGCCAGCACACAAACAAGGTTATTTACCCACAACTTAGTACAATACCACACTCGAGAGACCATCTAAGCTCCCCTTAATTGTCTAACAGCTTATTAATAAAAAAGGTAATTGCCCATGGGTGCAACTGCTTTCCTCTTTTTATCTAAATGATTACTTAGCTATATGGTTATCAGGGCACTCCAGGCTCAAGAGTTACATAAAACATTGCAGCATTCTCAGGCTAAGATGTCCATTCAACAGGAAGAGGGAAAACAACTTGAATTATACTCCTTGCTAACAAGCACAAATAATCACAAATTAGCTGCATAATTGTTTATTTAAAAACTTTATACAATCTTCTTATATTCTAGTCTAAAAATTATGTAAAAGGCACATGAGAGAAGGTAGATAATGTAAATAAAATGAAAAACACGCAAACTCTGAGAAAGAAAAAAATTCAACATCATTTTCAAATGTAAATTATATGCCTATTTCCTAAAGTGTAGAATCTATAAAAATGTAAAAGAATCATGGATGGAAATCAGATGAAAAAATAAACTATTTCATAGAAAAACAACTTATAGTGGATACATGTCATCTCTATATTATTTCATGAAAAATAAAGATAGACCACTAGAAATATTCACATAAACAAGAATACAGAAGAATTTGAAATACAAAAGTTGTTTGAGGACAAAATCTAGAAAATTTTAGATATTTTAATAAGAAATTGCAATGGTAAGTCAAAATACTTATTAAAAATTTAATACAGAAAAGTCTTTTTTTTTCAGTCATACAGATGATAGATCTGTAAGTTAATTAGAAATAATTGTGCATTTTTCATGAATTAGAAAATCTAGAGGAAATGACTAAGTTCCAGGAAACACACAACCTTCCGAGACTGAAGTAGGAAGAAAGTGAAAATCTGAACAGACCAATAATGAGGTCTGAAACTGAATCAGGAATAAAAAAACCTATAAACCAGAAAAAGCCCCGGACCAGGTAGATTCACAGCCAAATTCTACTAGATGTACAAAGAAGAATTGGTACCAATCCTACTAAAACTATTCCAAAAAACTGAGGAGGGGGGACTCCCCACATTAACTCAATTTATGAAGCCAGCATCACCCTGATACCAAAATCTGGCTGAGACACAATGAAAAAAAGAAAACTTCTGGCCAATATCTCTGATGACCATAGAATCAAAAATCCTCAACAAAATACTAGCAAACTGAATCCAGCAGCACATCAAAAAGCTAATTCACCATGATCAAATAGGCTTTATTTCTGGGATGCGAGTCTGACTCAACATATGCAAATCAATAAAAGTGATTCACCACATAAACAGAATTAAAAACAAAAACTGTATTTTCTCAATAGAACGAAAAGGCTTTCAACAAAATCCAATATCCCGGCCAGGTGCGGTGGCTCACGCCTGTAATCCCAGCACTTTGGAAGGCCGAAGTGGGCGGATCACAAGGTCAGGAGATCGAGACCATCCTGGCTAACATGGTGAAATCCCGTCTCTACTAAAAATATAAAAAATTAGCTAGGCATGGCGGCAGACTCCTGTAGTCCCAGCTACTTAGGAGGCTGAGGCAGGAGAATGGCGTGAACCTGGGAGGCAGAGCTTGCAGTGAGCCAAGAGCACGCCACTGCATTCCAGCCTGGACGACAGAGCGAGACTCCATCTCAAAAAATAAATAAATAAATAAATAAATAAATAAATAAATAAATAAATAAATAAAACATCCAATATCCCTTCATGATAAAAACCCTCAAAAAACTAGACACCAAAGGAATATACCTCAAAATAATAAGAACTATCTAAGAGAAACCCACAGCCAACATCATACTGAATGGGCCAAAGCTCAAACCATTCCCCTTGAGAATGGGAACAAGACAAGGATGCCCACTCTCACCACTCTTACTCAAAATACTACTGGGAGTCCTACCCAGAGCAATCAGGCAAAAGAAAGAAAGAAAAGACATCCAAATAGGAAAAGAAGTCAAACTATCTTTGTTTACTGATGATATGATTCTATACCTAGAAAACCCTAAAGAATGCACCAAAAGGCTCCTAGAATTAATAAATGACTTCAGCAAAGTTTCAGGATACGAAATTAATATGCAAAAATCAGTAGTATTTCTTTTTTTTGAGACAGAGACTCACTCCGTCACCTGGTACAGTGGTGCCATCTCAGCTAACTGCAACCTCTGTTTCCTGAGTAGCTGGAATTACAGACACACGCCACCATGCTTGACTAATTTTTGTTCTACTTTTTAATTTTAGTAGAAGTGAGGATTCACCATGTTGGCCAGGCTGGTCTTGAACTCCTGACCTCAAGTGATCTACCCGTGTTGGCCTCCCAAAGCGCTGGGATTACAGGCATGATCCACCACACCCGGCCTTAAAAATCAGTAGCATTTCTATATACCAACAATGTTCAAGCTGAGAGCCAAATCGAAAAACACAACTCCATTTACGGTAGCCACTAAAAAATAAATAAATAAAATATTTAGGAATACATCTAAGTGAGGAAGTGAAAGATCTCTATAAGGAGAACTACAAAACGCTGCTGAATGAAATCAGAGACAACACAAACAGAAAAACATTCCATGCTCATGGACTGGAAGAATCAGTATCATTAAAATGGCCATACCACCCTCAGTAATGCACAGATTCAATGCTATTCCTATCAAACCACCAATGTCATTTTTCACAGAATAAGAAAACAACTATTCTAAAATTCATATGGAACTAAAAAAGAGCCTAAATGACCAAAGCAATCCTAAGCAAAAGGAACAAAGCCAGAGGCATCAGGCCGGGTGCGGTGGCTCACGCCTGTAATCCCAGCACTTTGGGAGGCTGAGGCGGGCAGATCATGAGGTCAGGAGATCGAGACCATGGTGAAACCTCGTCTCTACTAAAAACACAAAAAATTAGCCAGGCATGGTGGCAGGCGCCTGTAGTCTCAGCTACGCGGGAGGCTGAGGCAGGAGAGTGGCGTGAACCCGGGAGGCGGAGCTTGCAGTGAGCCGAGATGGCACCACTGCACTCCAGCCTGGGCCACAGAATGAGACTCTGTCTCCAAAAAAAAAAAAAAAAAGCCAGAGGTATCACTCTACCTAACTCCAAACTATACTATAAGGCTACTGTAACTCTACCTAACTCCAAACTATACTATAAGGCTATTGTTACCAAAACAGCATGGTACTAGTACAAAAACAGACACATAGACTAATGAACCAGAATAGAGAATCAGAAATAAGACAGCATGCCTACAACTATCTGACCTTCAACAAAGTCAATAAAAATAGGCAATGGAGAAAGGACTCCCTATTCAATAAATGTGTTAGAATAACCAGCTAGCAGAGAGATGAAAATTCTAAGAATAAAAAAGAAATGCTAGTGATCAAAAACACTGTAACAGAAATGAAGAATGTCTTCAATGGGTTCATCAGTAGACTAGACATTGCTGGAGAAAATCCTTGGATCTTGTGGATATGACAAATAGAAACTTCTGAAACTAAAAAACAAAGAGAAAAAAGACAAAAAAACAAAAACAAAAACAAAAAGAAACCACACACACAATACCCAAGAACTGTGGGACAACTATAAAAGGTAGAATGCGTGTGTAACTGAAATCCCAAAAGGTGAAAAAAGAGAGAAAAGAACAGAAGCATAGATGGGGAGAAAACATTTGCAAAAGACAAATCTGATAAAGTACTGTTCTGCAAAATATACAATGAACTCTCGAAATTCAGCAATAAGAAAACGGCCTGATTTTAAAATGGGCAGAAGACTTGAATAGACATTTCACCGAAGAAGATACGCGGAAGCCAAGTAAACTTATGAAAAGACTTCAACATAATGCCAGTAGGGTACTGTAAATGGAAACAACAAAGAAATACCACTACACATCTATTAGAATGGCCAAAATCCAAAACATGACACCACCAAAAGCTGGTAAGAATTTGCAGTGACAAGAACTCTCATTCATTGCTGGTGGGAATGAAAAATGGTACAGCCACTGTGCCACTTTATGATCCAGTAATCATGTGAGTTGGTATTAACCGAAATGAAATGATAACTTTTATCTACATAAAAACCTGCACACAGATATTTACAGCAGGTTATTCATAATTGCCAAAACTTGGAAGCAACCAAGATGTCCTTCACAAGGTCAATGAATAAATAATCTGTGTACATATAGACAATGGGATATCATTCTGTGCAAAAAATAAATCCATTAACAAGCCATGAAAAGACATAAAGGAAACTTAAATGCATGTTACCAAGTTCAGAAGTCAATTTGAAAAGGCTATATGCCGTATGATGACATTCTGTAAAAAGGTGCAACTATGGAGACAGTTAAAAGATCAGTGGTTGCCAGAGACCAAGGAAGAAAAGGATGAATAGGTAAAACACAGGATTTTTATGGCAGCGCAACTATTCTGTAGAATACTACAATGGTAGATACATGCCCAAACCCATGTGATATACAGCACCAAGAATTCACCCTAATGTAAACTATGGACTTTGGATGATGATGATGTGTCAATGTAGGTTCATCGATTGTAATACATATATGCACCAGTGTGGTGTGAGATACTGACAGCAAGGGAGGTTGTGCATGTGTTGGGGTGTGGAAGTACATGGGAACTCTGAATTTCCCACATGATTTTGCTGTGAACCTAAAACAGCTCTAAAAAATTAAGTTTATTACTTTTTTAAAAAGGGATAAGTAAATGTTTCCAACAAATAATGAGCTCATTGAGTGCTAAGTATAATATTTCTTGACTGACAGAGTTGAACTTAGAAACAAAATAATAACAGAATGCACTGTGATAACAAGATACAACTTAACAGAAATAAAGTTTTGCATTTAAGCTAATGAAAACCAACTAATTAAGAGACAAATGCTAGAACCTGGAAATTTGCAGACAAATCCCTGGGAGTTTTACTTGGCCACAAGCTTAATCATAAGTTGACTGCCTGATATGGCTGCTAGGCTAAAAAAAAGCTTCAGGCTTCCTCAACAGAAGTATCTGGATCCATGGCTTTCAAACTTTAGAAAACATAAAACTCACCCAGTGTGCTTGCAAATAAAGTTTGATTTTATATGACTGAGGGTGAGCCCTGAGAATCTGCATTTCTAAAAAAGCATCTCAAGGGACTCTGACATAAGTGATAAAAACCACTCAATATATATTACCAGGCCGGGTGCGGTGGCTCATGCCCATAGTCCCAGCACTTTGGGAGGCCAAGGCGGGCAGATCACCTGAGGCCCGCCAGCCTGGCCAACATGGTGAAACCCCATCTCTACTAAAAATACAAAAAATTAGCTGGGCATGGTGGCGGGTGCCTGTAATCCCAGCTACTCAGGAGGCTGAGGCAGGAGAATTGCTTGAACCCGGGAGGCAGAGACTGCAGTGAGCTGAGATCGCGCCATTGCCTCCAGCCTGGGCAACAAGAGCGAAACTCCGTCTCAAAAAAAAAAAAAAAAAATCCATCCATCCATCCATCCATCCATCCATCCCTCCCTCCCTCCCTCCCTCCCTCCATCCAGTGCTGGCCACTTCTTCAGCTATTAAACTAATGAATGTATAAGTATTTTTTAATGATTTGGACACATGGAATATCTTTCTAAAAATACTGTTTATGATTATTTGATCTTTAACAGCCCGAAAGTATGCAGTCTTTTAAAAAGTGTTTAAGATTCTAAAACAAAAGGAAGTTTTGATACATATTGTAGTAAGCTTTGATAATCCAGAAAATTTACTGATATGAACCGTTAAATCATTCTTGGACATACCAGACAAATGAGATGTTCTGTTTTTCTTTTTAAATAACTCAGGCAAATTGATAGTTATGGCTGATACCACTTAAGCTTTATTGGTTAATCAGCTGATGGTGATAAGAAAAAAACCTCACACTTTTCCTTAGTAGTTAGCCTTTGGAAAATTAATGAATCTACCATTCCAAAATTAGAATATTCTAATTTCAAAAACCTTGGTAAAACTTATATCAGCCCTCTAAGACACTTGCAGAACACTGCAGAAGATGAGGGAGACAGAGAACAGCAGGAAGGAGGAAAGAGAGAACTGAAAAGCCTAATCCAGCACAAACTGAAGTGCAGCTGAATGAATTTCTCTTGCCTGACCTAGTTCAGCAATAAGACAAATTGCTCTAAGAGTAATGGAGCTCTAGCTTGACAGTGATGACTGACATAAGCTACAAACTAGCTCCTGACAGTAATGCAAAAAGCCACTACATTCTTTCAGGGTTTCCAACAGAGCTCTTGGATTTCTGTACTTGGACAACATATCCAGTGGAGGCGCTTACCATGATAATCCCCTTGGCTTGGTGGATTGGATAGAATAATCTTCAAGCAACTGAAAGGTGTATAGTCTGTCCTCTTGCCTTCCTTTCCAAAGCTATGACGGATGTTGTAAGAGTAACCTTTATCAAACTGAATGGGAGAAAATAGAAAAAGAGACAAAGTCAGCCAATGATTATACTAGTGAGGTCAGCAAAGCAAGCTAAAATCAAAGAGTGCAAAGTGATATTTTCTAGAATAAACTCAGCATTCACGGGCAGATGTACATTCATGCCATATATATTATTTAGGTCCTTTATGATACAAATAATTTCTTTTTTAAAAAAAGGTACAAAACTTATAGAAAACAAATTTCTCAGGTAGAAGACAGCTAGTGTTATCTATATGTCTAAAGATAAAGAAAATCTTTTCCTGAGAAGAATAATCGATTTGCCCTTCTTAGCTTGATTCCAAAGATTATACCAGAAGAAAACCAGTTTAGCCTCTTTTCTATCCACCTTCCCCTAATTCTCCCTGAATTCCCATATCTACCCATTCTACTTCCTAAATGCCTATTAAAATAGTTAATCCTAGGCCAGGTGCAGTGGCTCATGCCTGTAATCCCAGCACTTTAGGAGGCTGAGGATCACTTGAGCCCAGGAGTTCAAGACCAGCCTGGGCAACATAGTGAGACCCCATCACTACAAAAAAAATTAAAAATTAGCTGGGTGTGGTGGCATGCACCTGTGGTCTCAGCTACTCAGGAGCCTGAGGGAGAATTATCGATTGGGCTGTAGGGTTGAGGCTGCAGTGAGGCATGATTGTGCCACTGTACTTCAGCCTGGGCAACATAGTGAGATCCTATCTCAAAATATAATCATCATCATCATCATCATCATCATCATCATCATCCCTTCCTCTGGATTTCCACCATACAAAGTAGTCAACAAATGCTTAATGAATGACGGGAGAACAAAAGGAACCAGCATATAATGAAAAGTGAACAGGTGCCAGGCATTTTGCTAGGAGCTTTTAAAAGTGTAATCCTATTTAACCATTTAGATCATCACAACTCCTCTATGATGCTATACTTGAGAAAACTGAAGTTCAAAGAATGAAGCAATGTGATGTACAACAGTTATTAAATGGTAGACATGTACAGACAAGTCTGATTCCAAAGCCCATGTTCTTTCCATAATACCACACTTTCTTAGTAATAAGAAATAAGATATTTAAAAATAGTAGCTTCCAGTTATATCTTTTTAGGACATAACTTCTCTCAGACTCCATTTTAAATGACACTTGGTTTTGAGGTCTAAAATCAGAAGTAATCTCTTCTTCCTACATATTTCAATAGCATTTTATCTATACTTATACCTATACTTTTCTAGAAGATTTATCTTCATATTTGATTTTTATGGCATTTTACTTCTTTTACGACACATTATCATGCTACTTTCTATTAATCACATATTCACATAGGTGATTAGTTCCTCCAGGATCATAAACTCTTTGAGGTAAGATCTGTCTATTGGATCTTTGCACCCACCTCAGTACCAGCATGCATGAAGGAAAAAATGTGAAGTACTCCTTTGTCTACTACAGCATTAGGAAGGCTATCATCCCATTATTCTGTTTCCATTAAATGTTTTCCAATGCCTGATGGTTGGTGACTTTTTAAATTTAACTTTTAATTTTTTTTTAGAGATAGAATATTGCTCTGTTGCCCTGACTGGAGTGCAATGCCATGATCATAGCTCACTGTAACCTCAAACTCCTGGGCTCAAGTGATCTTCCCAACTCAGCCTCCTGGGTGACTGGGACTACCGGTGTGTGTCACCAGACAGGGTCCTGCTATGTTGCCCAGGCTGGTCTCAAACTCCTAGCCTCAAGCAATCCTCCCACCTTGGCCTCCTAAAGCCCTGGGATTGCAGATGTGAGTCACTATGCCAGGCCCTTGGTTGATGATTTTCTAATTCCACTACTACGTGACACTCATCTGGCATAACAACCCATACCCCATTGGTCAACCAAAAGCAGACAATGTACCTTTGACAAGATATCTGGCAAGAGGTAATATTCAATACTGGTGGAATCTTGGACAAAAATCTAACTTTCCTGGGAAAGAGGTAGGGGTTAGGGTAGGTGTCCCATGTTAAGTGGTCATTTGGGCAAAAACTACAAATCTAAAACTAAGTTTCTAAAATGTATGGCAAATGACTGATGTAGCAAAAAATTTATCTTCTACTCTGAAAAAAATACATGTTTGTTTAAAAGACAAGCCTTGCCACTTTTATACTGGAGCACAATCTTAAACTACCCCTCAGTGATCTCTCAAGGCTGTCACAAACAGAATGATCAGAAGCTGTGAGTGGCTGTGGAGCACGTCAAACGTTCCTACATGATACTTTAAGCAATACTTGTTAAATAGTGAGAAGCCAGATTGCCCAAATAATAAGTCATTTTCAAAGGGCAAAATCTTCAAGGTTCTCAGTCTAATAATTAGAGTGAAAGAGCTTATAGTTTTTACTGCCATGATTCTTTAACTTATAAAATGGATACTCTAGAAAGCTTACCGAATGATTACTTGGCAATTTTTCATACATGAAATTACTAAGCATAACACCAAAAAGTGTCATGTAGATAGGAATAAAACTAAGACAGATTATTTTGAGTTTATAAATAATTATACATATTGGCAATGAACTAAAACTTAAATACAAAAGGTGGGCAGGCCGTATTTTGGAAAGCAGGTAAATCCCCCCTCTTTTAAGTGATCGCAAGACACTTCAGAGTTGCCCTTTGCTTGCTTTCTCTGGGTTCATACTAAGAGCAACACACATAGAGTAGGCTTTTTAAAGATCCCAGGCTTTGGGGGCAGAGAAACCTGGGAAAGAATCCCTGGCCTGTCTACTTATAAAGGGTGTTACTTCAATCCTCAATTTTCCTAATCTATAGGGACAGTAATATTAATGCATTAAATTGCTATGAAGATTAAATTAAATTAAAACATTATGCAGAGTACCTGTCACATCCTTTGTTCTCAATAAATATTAGCTGCTATTGGTGAGGGGGAAAAAGGAAAATATTTTGGTGTCCTAGTTTAAACACTAACTATGCTACTGCAAAAGACTTCTATTTCCTAGTTAAAACACTGACTGTGCTACTGCAAAAGACTTCTGCTTCAGTAGATATTAACTGAACCTTTACCTAAAGGTTTAGGGAGGATAAAAGACTCACTGAACTATTCAATTCCATTTCTAGTCATCTTAAAATGTCCCCCTTCTTCCAACTCCTATCCACAACTCTAACTATTCATACAAACTGGCTCAAATGTCACTTCCTCTGTGGAATCGTCCCAAGTACCCAAGGCAGAAGACGTTGCTTCCTCAAAAGAATGCACAGCAGCAGTTTGTACAGTGCTGTACCTTTCTTGTTGCAATGGAATTTATTTTTGCATTTATCACTTCTAAACTAGGAGTGCTGTTAAGGGCGGGGACTTGGTTGTGTACTCATCATAGCATGCCCACTCAGTATCTGATAAAACATCTACTCATAGGAGGTGCTCAATAACCTTCACTTGAATGAAAGAGCAAATAAGCGGTAGCTGGCTGGAAAGATGAATGTATAAATATGCTTCAAGGGATTTTAACTTATCAGGATTAAATAACTTCAAAAACCTGCCAAATCATTGCAAGTTTACACTGTTGTGCTATTTTGTTCTTCTGGATAGCTCTTCTTCACTGTAACAACAACAACAAAGGCTGAAAAAGTTTAAACGATGCCCTTTATAGAGTATAGTGGATACATTAAAAGATAGTAAAATAATAAATTTTATTTTCTTCCAAAAACTGGCTCAGTATAGTGGGACTGGGCCATCCAATACTTCAAGAGAATCAGAAAGAGAGTCAGAATAAGAGATAGGAAAATATCTTGCTATTTTTGTGTCCGAGATCTTTAAATTTGAGGTTATAACTGAAATATAGTGAAATGCACACATCTTAAGTCTATAGGATGATCAGTTTGGGCAAGTGACTATATGTATACAACCCACACTCCTACCAGAAGATAGAACATTTCCATCAACCTGTAGAATTCCCTCTTGCTTCTTCTCAGTCAACATTCCCCTCCCTCCACAACCCGAAGTGACTACTGATCTGATTTTTGTCACCACAGATTAGTTTTAGCTATTCTATAACTTTGTATCAATGGAATCACACAGTATAAAGTATTTGTGTCTGGCTTCTTTCATGTCCTTTAATGCTTCTGAGATTTGTCCTTGCCATTACATGTGTCAGCAGTTTGTTCTTTTTTATTGCCGAGTAGTGTTCTACTGTATGGATATACCAGATCGCTTGTCTAGGCTCTTGCTGATGGACACCTGGAGATGTGATATTGTGATACAATAAGAAATGTGTATTTGATCCCTGCTCCTGGTTCCTTGCAGAGAGTTCCCAAAACTCTTGTGATTTCCTGAGCAAGAGGGATGCTAGGTGCATCTTCTGTTCTAATATTTGGTCCGTGGCCCAAGTTTCTGACAGAGTTGCTAATCCCTTGGAACTTCCTGGGTATTGATAAGAGTATCTTTTGTTCTAATGAGGTGACTCTTGGTGGGCTTCTGGATGGGGGCTGGTCACCAGAAAGACCAAGCCATAATTAAAAGCCTGGAACTTTCAACCGCACTATCCCATCCTCCAGGAAAAGGGGGGGGGGGGGAACGAGTTAATACGTGCTCAACCTATGTGATGAAACCTCCATAAAAATTCCTAAACTGATTGTAAACTAGTTCAACTGTTGTGGAAGACACTGTGGCGATTCCTCAAGGATCTAGAACTAGAAATACCATCTGACCCAGCAATCCCATTACTGGGTATATACCCAAAGGATTATAAATCATGCTGCTATAAAGACACATGCACACATATTTTTACTGCATCACTATTCACAATAGCAAAGACTTGGAACCAACCCAAATGTCCATCAGTGATAGACTGGATTAAGAAAATGTGGCACATATACACCATGGAATACTATGCAGCCATAAAGAAGGATGAGTTCATGTCCTTTGTAGGGACATGGATGAAGCTGGAAACCATCATTCTCAGCAAACTATCGCAAGGACAGAAAACCAAACACCACATGTTCTCACTCAT